ATTTAGTATTTTCCTTGTTTAGAATTCTAAAGCAGAAAAGCAATCAGGAGGAGACAATTGGAGGTACTTACAAAATCCGAGGTAACCTCCTGTGGAGGAATGTGGAAGCCTTGGTCTTGAGGATGGACCGGCGATTCCACCGTGGCCTCGGGTTCCTCGAGTAGCCGTTTGCCACGGTCGGCTGCCGATGGGCCGACTGGCGCAGCTGCTTCAGAGGCAGGGACTTCCTGGTCCTGAGAAAGAACGAGAGGTTCGGCCACCGGGGTCGGTTCCTCGACCGTGCGCTTGCCACGATTAGCCGAGGAGGGGCCGGTTTGAACCACCATCTCGGATACTGGATGAGGTTGTCGACGAGTATGAGGACGATGCGCCAGCGGGACCTCGTCGCTCCCCTCACTCTCTTCCAACACGAGGACCGAGGGATTTGGATTCTTGGGAGAGGTTCCCTCGGTCGTAGAAGCCGCCTGTTGTGAGACAGGTGCCTTCTCGATAGAGGGAGGGACAATTGATGCGTCGGCCACAGAGGCAGGCCGCGCTAGGGCCGTCTCTGCGGCCAAAGCCGGTTGTTTCTCGACCCCAGAATCACCGGCGGCGGGAGAAGGGGAAGCACTGGGAGTCGTCGTGTGACTGGAGATAACGTGGATCTCCCGTGCACCTTTCTTCGCCATTTGTTTAACCCGCTTAGCAGGCGGGGAAGGCTCAACAGCCGGCTCGGCCTCTTGGCGAGGCCGTTTGATCAGCACAGCCCTACCAGCGGGTTTGTCCTTTTGGGCCACGAACGATTTTTTTCCCGGCCGTGGCAGCGGCAACTGCCTCCGTCTTCCTCAAAGGCCGACTACCTAAAAAGATAAAGACAATTTAGTAAGGCAAATCAATATGCAAGGTTGATGGAAAGGAGGAAAGTGGAACAGGTACCTTAAGGATGAGGGGCCGAGGCCTTCTTAGGCCGGTCACCGAAGAGTCTGCTAAGCACATCTTCAACCGGCGCACCAAAGAATTCCTGGGTGTATTTCTCCCACCACTCGCCAAAGGTGTCGGTGCAATGGGTTTCCGGGGTGGCTGGTCGAAGGCGGAATTTTTGGCAGCGCTCTTGGAACTCCCTCACGGCGATTCTACACTCATTCTCAGAGGAACGAGGTTCGCGTCCACGGCTTAGGACCGTTCGGGAGGAGAGAAGGGGGATAGGGCAGCCCTGAAGGTAGCCGAGCTGTCGGGCAAGGAAGTTCGGATGATATACTTCCCAACCTGACCGTTTCCCATCACAGCCGAGAGGGAGGTCGCGAGCAAGCACAAACGACCCCCAGGTCTGACGAAGATCGGCGTCTTCCTCCGCGCTCCATGGGGAGGTAGGCAGCCTGATGGAGGAAGGGTAGTCTCGACGACGACATATTAGGAACTCGTCGTTGGAGAAGTCGTCGAGAGCGAAGAGGTACCGAAATACCTCTTCGGCTTGATGGGGAGGTGTCGATCGAGAGGCCAGTTGAGGCCCAAGCGCCTCTGTTGGTGAGAATTCAGCTATGGCCGGCCGAATGGAGGCGAAGTATACCTGCAACCATAGTTGGAAGATCCAGAGAGGACCATTCTGGTGTGGGTCGACCTTGTGGAGGGTCGCCTCGGCCAGGCAGCGGAAAAGTTGGGCGAGAATGTTGGAACTCAGTGCCAAGACGTGACCACTAGCCAGGGTTTCGGCTACCGGCATGTTCTCGACCAAACACTTGTTTGACTTGGTACAACAAATGTATTTGTTGTACCAGTAGAAGAGGAAGGCTTCATGCTCTCCCTCTCGCATGTCCTCTTCTCCTCGGCCGGCGAAGTGGAGATAGAGGGTGTTGTAATTACAGAAGTTCTTGTGGAGCTTCTGAATGTCTTCCTTCGACGGGATATGACCGTCACGGTTCAAGGTCTCGGAGGCCCGACGGTCGAAGAGCGTTTTCAGGTCGATATTCGACGGATGCCCAGAGAGGGTCGCGTCGACAGGGATCCCAGTCGCCGAAGTCCCCAGAATGGCAGTGATATCCAGGATGGTGGGACCAATGGGACCCAGAGGAAGGACCATTGTGTTGGTGGCCAAGCACCAGAAGCACAGAGCGGCTTGGAGAAGCTCCTTGTCGGGAACGATTTCCATAGACGAAAGGAGGATGGCGTCGTAGATGCCAAGAGCCTTCCATTGCTCGCCGAAGAGTCGTTCCATTCGAATGACCCAGGCTGCCCAGGATGTGGTCGTCGAGGGCCAGGAGCCCTGGGGCTAAGCCGCATCCCATCGCGACCATTCAAACCCTTGAAGCAAGGGTGTTAGGCAGTGCTCCTGTAGAAGGCCGATGATAGTCGGCGGTATTGTAGCCTTGAAGAGAGGGCCCAGGATTTGGTACTACTGGGTGCTCATGTCGTTTTTCAAACCGGATGTGGTCTTGATCGAGCTCCGATAAAAAATCTTCTGATGTTGGTCACACTCCCTGGAAAGCTTGGAAATGAAGGACGCCATTGTGAGAAAGAAGCACGAAGTAGAAGGGTTGTCTGGGTTGGGGATTTAAAGACGAAGACTTGGAATAGGAGAAATGCACTAGAAATCAATGGCAGAGGATTTCAGGAAGTTTGAAAGCGTAAAGGTACAAATGAGGGAATTTCGGTATTTATAGAGTTATAGAGTTATAGGGGGAAGAGCAATCGTTCGAAATTCAAAACAAAGGGCAAAATCGACCGAAGGAATTGTCGATCATGACGAACATTTGGGAAATGCGGTTGAAAAGACCGAAGGTCAGGGTTTTGGGGGCGCAGGATTGCGTGTGCGTGTGACGGCGAAATTAATGACGAAAGACGGTTCGACGCTCGCACGATGACAAGTGGGCTCACGGACTGAGGTAGTGGCTCGCGGATTGAGATAGTGGTCATGATGGCAAGACGGTTTAGGCTGCCGCACGCCTTAGACGTCATTATGGGGGATTGGCCATGTTAGAGGACGCCACGTGGCGAGTGGGTTAGCAGGATCAAGATCGATCGTGCGATCGTCGTGCGATCGTGCTCAATAAATGCGCCTTGGAACTCGGGTATTAGGATCCTAAGTGGTAGATTCGCTTCTTCAAGGCCGAAACTCGGCCGAAGGTTTCAAGCCGAGGACCTCAGAAGCGAGGGGCAATGTTTGGGCCCAAAATAATAGTTTGGGCCGAGGGTAGGATCACTCTCGGCCCAGGAGGCCGGGCGGCAAAAGGACCATGGATCGGTCAACCCGTGGGAGTCCAAACCTAGGGCGGTTATGACGAATCCTCGTGCAATGGGGAGTCTCGACGGGATCGGATATCCAGGAAATTAATCCAGCTTAGCTAAGGACTAGGTTCATAGTCCTAATAGGTGTAGGACTGGTCGAGGTGATCCGGAGAGGGAAACCTAGTCCGAGTAGGAGGTAAACTCGGACTCAAGGTTCAGTACTATAAATAGGGGACGCTGTGCATCAGGAAAGGGCCTACAAAATCAATACAAAATTGCCCTGCGCAAACTCTCACAACTTGTGATTTTTCTTTTTCCTTTCTTCGCTGACACATCTTCCGTTGGCATCAACAACACTGTGGAAGCAACCGGTGATATCTTAAGTCGGCATAGATAGCTCTGTCACCGTAGAGTCAGTCGGTCTCGCAGTATCTTCCGTTGGCATCAACAGCAGCATCAACAGCACTGCGGCGAGGACGACTGGTTACCTATCCAAGTCTCGGTCGAGAAGGATTTTCGAATCCCTATTGGTCGAGGTCATCTCATCAGCCTTCTCGGCGAAGTGAGGTGTTACCAGGTTACTGTATTCGGCACATTGACAGCCGAATTTGAGATTGAACTTCGCAAATTAGCAGCCTTGTCTTCAGGCTCTAGAACCCAAGAGGCCGAGAATTGTTCCTTCCTCGGCCGCAATCGCAAGACACAGAAGTCAGCGGCGCGCTCGACGCAACATCATCAAATTTACTCCTCGGCCGAGCTCGGCCGACGAGTTGGCACGCCCCGCAATCACCGAAGGACGTAGTTAGCTTAGAAAATACTCGGCCTGCGCGCCACGTAGGTTTTTGTAGTTTCTAGGGTCAACAGGGTTACATAGCTTTTCATAAAACATAATGAGTCTTTCATGTTCATATTTGATCCGAACGTCCGTACGGGTTGCATGTTAGATATACGTTCTACGTTGGATGTTCCAAGTAGGGTATATATTAGGAAAACCTAACCTTCAAAATATGGGCAATTCATAAGTAATTGGAAGAACTACGTAGGATTGTTAAGGTAACAGCTGAACCCTAGGGCTTTTACAAATTGATTTTCTTTAAATTGGTTTTTAGTTGATTTATTTAATTGTTTTTAATTTAAATTCGTTTTTATTATTTTAAATTCCAAAAACATCATTTTCACAACTTTGTTCTAAATAATTAGCTAAAGATTAGTATAAATTATTCATGCAATCCTTATGGAAAACGACATTACTTGAGTTGCTATACTATAATAACCTTATACTCTTGCAAGTATTTTTATGTGCTTTTATCTCTACTTTTGCAGGTGGTAAAAATCACTATCAGGTTCCAACCCCGTCTTCTCCTTAATCTAACATCTAATCTAACAAATCTATTGTTTGACCAAAAAAAAAAAAAAAAAAATACCCCACATGTAATGACTTAATTCCACCTTCCTTCTTCTCCGATTTTTCATGGCAATCAGTTGTCTCAACTAAACTTGTACAAAATGTTGAGTTCATCTATAAACCTGATACATCAAAACAGAAATCTTTTTGTGAATTGGTTGAACTTATCACACATGCAACTTTTTCAGTTTTTAACTCGCTTTTACTGATAGTTTAGGCGAGAATTCTACTATTCACCGATGTATAGAATGCATTATTTTTATGACTAGATTATAACCGTTTTAATCCAATCGTACAAACATTGGTGTATTCAATGTATTGCAGAAGACCGTAATTTAGAATTTTGGATTCTTTTTGCAGTCATTAGAATTCTTTTTATCTAGTGGTCACTGTGTTTACTGTCAGTAGACAGACTTGAATACATATTTATTTACACAAAGGTACACAATATTGATTCAGGAGGATTAAGTTGTGCAGTTACAGTACGAGACGAAAGGAAAAGAAATTGAGATAACTGAACATTAAGCATATATATAGATTTTACAAAAACTAATTAAAAATGGATCATTTTTCAAAGTAATCTTCAGTCCTCCCCTTGAAGCCAATCTGCCCAAAGGTAAGGGTGATGAAAAGCCCCAGGTGCCATGTTATCAGCCACAACCTGCTCAAAAAATTGTATATCCTCGTCATATTTACTTGAAGCAAAAAACATTAGAAAATTTAGATTGAATGCCAGTTTTGCTCTTTTTCTTATAAAAGCGTAATACTCTTTCTTTACACTTGCACGAGGGTTCAGCTCATTACTTTAGTTTAAGTCATAAAAATTAGAGCCCGTTTGATAACTATAATGGTGGAGGAAAAACACATCGGGAAAATGAGGGATGAAGAAGAGTAGAGATGTAAAGAATAATTGTTTGTTGTATTTAGTATTTAATCTCAAGTTTCCCAATGGATTATTTTTGAAATATTAGGTTGTCATTACAAATTGATACCATTTTAAGACCTCAGGCTATAATATGAAAATTTTGAATCCTCATGGCCCAATTAGAAAATCACCCTAAATTAAAGGATTTACAATGGAAAACGACCCAAACTTAAAAGGATTTAGAATGTAATTAGCCTAGTGTGGCATAGCCAAACTTCCCCTCCCCTTAATGTAAAAATATTGATGTATTCAAAAAAAAAAAATGTAATTAATGTTTTTCTTTAGATAGCTAGAAAGTGAACTGACTAAATAAAACAAGAACGGTGCCATGGTCTAGTGGTGAGGACATTGGACTCTGAATCCAGTAACCTGAGTTCAAATCCCGGTGGGACCTTCGTTTCTTTTCTTTTTCCCCCTTTTTTATTTCTACACTTACTGAGAATCAAATGCCAAACATATAATAACCAGCCTCCTAATTCCTTATCTCAAGGAGTGCTACGTTTCTTCGTCACACGATTAAGTTTATCACACGACCTAATCAATCTTATATCTAATAGACAAGTTTATGTCGCTTTGAAATAGCTCAATATATTAGTAAACATGCAAAACTGATCGAGAATACAAACAAGTCACTCTATAAAACGTAATTAGTGAGATAACCTACTTAACCGCTCAAGTACATATAAAAGAGCTAGTGCAAGTATATTTTTGACCACTTAACCTTTTATTTTGGGATTCTAGCTGTTTGTAGCTCATTTAGTTACAACTTTACCCCCATATCACCTTAATTCAATTCACCTTCCCTAGTATCTGCTTGTATTAGAAAAACTTTTAATTTGGGAATTGGGGGTTGTTTGGGATTATTTTAAGGGAGTTTTGCTGCATATATGTGGTAGGGGCCCTATAAAAGATTTTGGATTTTTTTCACAAATGATCTCTGAAATTGACCCACTCTATCAAGAAATTGAAAATTGATCAATGTTATTCTTGAATATGAGTGTTGCAAATCACTCTCATCCTTCCATCTTAATTATGTTAGAAAGTCTGTTAGTGTGTTGATGTTGCACATTGTGGTCCACCACTCCAATATTCAACCGAATGATGACATTGATTTGCAACACCCATATTCAGAATTTTTAAATTTAGTGACCATTTTGATGGTGGGAGTCAATTTTAGAGTTCATTTGTGATAAAAACTTTTTTTTTTTTTTTTGCTGGGCTAGTTGTATTTGTCTTGGCCATTTGGGCCTAGATGTCGTAATTGTGCCCTTTGGAGTGCAATATTGGGTTTGAAGAAAAAAGAAAAAAAACAAAGAAAAACCTGTGATATCAATCTAAACAAGATCAAACACTAAAGGAACAAAATTTAGAAGAAGGGTTACTAACCAAAATTGAGAAGTGAGAGCAGGAGGTGAGGGGAAGTGAGCGAGCTCAGCACCAATGCTCTCAAAGAAGAGCCCAGTCAAACTCTTACCTCCGATTAATGGTATGCTCGACGGAGCCAACCATCCGATCAACCCAAACCCAATCACATTCAGATCCCTCCGCAGCCAATCTCTCTGAAAGCTACTGTTTGTTCCCAACACATTCAACACAAAACAAAACCATATATGCATCAGTGCATGGATTGCATGGATATCTGACCATTAATTGTCTGCTTAATTTAGGCTAAACATTGATTATAATTAATTAACCGCGTATTGTCTTATATAAACCACGTATTGTACCTGTATTAATACGATTGACACATTGACACAACCGCATACAACAATTTCTACGTTACAACAACAAAATCAACGGTCATGATCTTCTTAAAAAACGATAGCTAGGTAAATTACCATGTGAACCTTCCTCCAGAAGCCCTATCTTGCCTCAGAGGGTTGCCAACCACAATAGGCTTCACAAAGCCTGCAATTAAAGAGCATTGCAACATTAGTATATTGTACAAAGGCGCATTTTAGTGAGAGCACATATATATATATGTGTGTGTGCGTGTGCGTGTGTGTGTATGTGAAGTATGAACCTGAAGAGAGGCATGTCCTGCTTGGTGAGAGGGAGGAACTGCCCAGCCCCATCACGGTTGATGCGGTCGCCATGGTTGCTGCCATTTTTTCGGTTCAGAGCTGTAAGTTTTGGAGTGAGTGAGTCAGAAATATTATTGGTGAAGATGGTGGTCGAGATTAAGTTTTGTCAGCTGTTGATGGAGATTTTTTGGGAAGATAGAAGGGATTTGCATGGATGGAGTTTGATCAATGATCATCTGCCACGTGTGACTTCATATGATAAAGTGGGGTCTCACTCATCTAACACCACCAAAGGTGTTTCCATCTTGCTGAAGATATGTGCTAGCTCAGCAATGTCAGCATGTTGTGTGTGATCATGTAGTACGATGTAATTTCACCAGAGTTTCAAGTAAAGATTGCGAATTTAGATCCATATTAGATCAGGGCAATTAAGATGGGCCTTTGCCTTTCGTAGCTAACAAAACCCAACTCAATTCAAGACTGCTAAAGATCAAAGGACGAGAAAAATAAGAAAAACGAATTAAAAACTCTGAATCTTGTTCCAAATATATAGAAAAAGAAGAAAAACGCTACAAATAGTCAAGACGGTCACATAACATGAAAATACTTTTCTTTTTACCAAAAATTATGTTTTACTAAGTTACAATAGGTGTATTTTTTTTTAAACAAATGATATTATCTATACTAAAGGGGGAGGGGGTGGGCTTAGCCTTACAATAGGCTAGTAATAATGTGGTTCAAATTCGTCTTAGGTTCAATTCTCGCCAAAGGCGAATTTAAACCACATTATTGCTAGCCTATTGTGAAATTAAGCCCCCCCTTAGACTTACTTCAACCCTTAGAGTAAAACTCAAATTTTAGGTTCTAAACCTCCACTAACTTGCTCCAACCCTTGAGACAAATATAAGTTTGAACCCAAAACTCATTTATGGGGTAAATTTAGCTCACGATTTCCCCTGGGTTAGTGGGCTAGCCCACCATATATGTGCATTTGTTTTAGTTTTATATTTACAAATTTATTGAATCTAACGACTAAGATCTAATATGATAAAATCCAACGGTAAAAAAAAAAGATCTAACTGTTCAAATTTAAATTCAACGGCTAAAGTAATTAAAAAAAAATTATTTCATGTGTTTTGTATTCTTTTATAGTGTTCAACAAGTTTTATGGCATCAGTTTAGTGATTTTTCAATAATTATTGGAATTTAAATATTTTTAGGTTAAAATGTTCATAAAATTAAATTAGGATAGGTCTAAGGGGGGAAGGGTGGTAGACCTGACAATTTCTTACATGATTCGTTAACACAACACGTAAACAACACGAAAATAACATGTTTCGGGTCAACACAATAACTAATCGGGTCATTATCAGGTCACACGATAATAACCCGTTAATAATAGGTCCTTAACAGGTTTACATGAGAGTAACACGCGGGTAACCTGTTTCGACATGATAAGAAAAAAGTTATTTTGATGATTTTAATTTTTTAAACTATTAAAAAAACTTACTATAAAATACAAGATATAATGAATATGTATATATTGTTTATTAATTATTATTTTAAAATTTAAGTTTTATTTATTTATTTATTTTTATAGTATATTATAGGCAAAGATTGAGATTAAAAATCATAAAACACATTAAAAATACAAATATCAAATAATTTAAAAATACCAAACACATTAAAAAATTATAATAATTAATTTACATGTGCGAAAAATATGAAAAAAATATGTAAACGCTCGTAGTCGCATCCTTTACGCTTTGAGGATGGGTATATGATTGTTTGAATTTTTAAAACCATACAAACTCTCATGAATAGTATTTTTAAAGGAGTTCAAAATAAACAAATTTATAATCATTAATGTATAAGTCTGAAAGATGTGAAAGCATAATAAACGTTCATAATTGCACCCTCAACACTTAGACGATGGTTACATGGTCATTTAGATTTTTAAAACCCTCCAAATCTCATGAACAATGTTTTTTATTTGAGTGCAAAATTAATAAAATGAATAATAATTATTGTAGAAGTGTGAAAAATGTAATCATTCGTAATAAAAAACTTTACAACTTTCATGAAGGGATCAACTCCGAAATTTAGTATGTAGATACTAATTTAGTATTATGTTTTACATTTTTTTGGGGTCAAATTATGTTTTTCATTTTCATTTTTATTGATTTAAAATATATTTTTCTTAACGGGTAACGGGTCGGGTCATATTACCCGTTTACTTTAATGAGTATTACACAACACAACCCATTAAGCTATCGGGTATGGTACGAAAACGAGAAACACGATACGAATGCCAGGTCTAAGGGGTGGTCTTATCCTCACAATGGGCTAGCAATAATGTGGTTCAAATTCGCCTTTGGCGAGAATCGAACCTAAGACCCCTCACTTACAATGGGTTAGCAAAAATGTGCTACACTTGCTAGGTACATGGTGGATATATAGGTGTTTGTTTGTTGAACAAGTTCACTAAACATTGACCCCCTAAGAAGTTTAAACGTATGGATGCTTACCAGATGTCAAACATGACAAAACTTTTGGTTGTAGTTTGCAAGTAGTTATCAGACTTGAGGCATCATATGTATCTTATGCTTATAGATATGAATTTTGATTTCAACTCAAAGCCTTCATTGCTTCGCAGAGACTGATAGTGTGATACTTGGGTTCATATGTATGGGTACGAAGATACATGACTTTTATGAGATTGACCATTCTTATTTTTGCAACACACATAAACCTAATCCGACTGGGGATTAGACGATTTTTCTATACTTGGAGATTCTTACAATCTATAAGGGTTGAGAATGCACTGCAAGTAATCACACTTGTAAGAAAAACAATATCTACTCCTAAATATCCTCTTGAATTCTCCCAACTTAATACGGATTCCATAGGTCTTAACTATTATACCCTCATCTAAGGCATAACTTTGGTAACGCTTCCCTAACACACAATACTTTCTTGTCTACTGCTTAAGTCTTAATAACGCTTACTAACTTAACCGTTGGAGAGCCTTTGGCCAATGCTCTACCGGTACCAAGGTTTGACGTCGGTTATCTACTTTCTTGCAGATAGCTAGACTTGCACACTTCTTTCGTCCGTGGTGCTGTGTCAATTTGGTTCCAATTATATTGTATGTTATTTGATTATTCAAATTAATTTTATCCCAATAATATGCTTGATTACCAAATGTTGATGCACAAAATCAACGAGGACTTTGGTACAACAGAAAGTGTTAAGTTTGTGACCTTCGCAAGATTGCTCCGGTCACTAGTGTGGATAAGTAAGTAAATGGATAGGGACAGGGAAGCAAACACAAGATGTACGTGGTTCACCCAGATTGGCTACGTCTACAGAGTAGAGGAGTTCTTATTAATTGTGAAGGGTTTACACAAGTACATAGGTTCAAGCTCTCATTTAGTGAGTACTAGTGAATGATTTAGTACAAACGACATTAGGAAATATTGTGAGAGAATGATCTCTATTTATAGAAGAGAGTTTCTAGTTTCATTATGACATTAACACGTGTCGTGTTGTGATTGGCTTATGATGTCGACACGTGTCGCACTATGATTGGCTTCTGATGTCGACACGTGTCACGCTATGATTGGCCTCCTGGTTGGAGGGAAACTCTTCTGGGTCATTGACGGTATAACGTTGACTGGTGCTTAGTAGTTTCGGGATTGGTCAAGTATGGTATAAACAGTGCTCCCCTAAGTTTTTGAGTGAATGAAGCTCCTCAGTTGGGGACTTGCAAGATCCAAGCCATTGAGTAATCAAGAAACTTCTAAGTTCCGAAGTGTGGTATCATTTTCACTTGCCTTATCTATCTTATATGTAGATGTGGCATCTTCTCTAGAAGTACTTTTCCTCCATCCAGGGGTGCTATCTTTAACCGATGAAGATGCACAAGGTAATGTATCAATTTCACTTGAAGCTTACTTGTAGTTTCGAGCTTGGTCAAGTGCGATACAAACCTTATAGTAGGAGTCCCCCAAGTCGCCGAGCTAGGAGATTTGCCGAATGAGGTAACAGACAAGGTAAGCAATCAGACTTCTAAGCAAGTAACCTGGATCGGAGGTTCGATTTCGGCTTCCGGTTGATTGTTATCCTTCTCCTTGTGTCATAAATAGCACCAAGGATAAGAAGAAGCAAATGGAGAAGAGATGATAAGAGATACTTTTGCTTTTGAAGAAGTAACTTTCCACAAGCTTATTCTTGAACTGGGCTGGAGGGTTTTCTGGTTTCCTCCAAAGTATAAGGCCGACTCAAGAATTTGAGGGTCAAAACAAGTCCATCAAATCAAGAGTGCGTTCGACCTTGATGATATGAGATACTTTTGCTGTTGACGAAGTAATAGATGAATCGGCATGTGTTCTGTTGCGCTTGTCTCCACATGCTTCCTTGTATCCTTCTCACTTTCCCTATTTGTTCCTCAGGCAGATGTGGTATCTTTTCTGGAAGCATAAGATGTTGAAGATGAGTACTCGAGAGCAATGCCAGGTAAGTAATCAGGCAAAGGGTTCCAGGCAGTCAGTTCCTAACTGGAAGCTTGATTCCAAGTGCTGACTGATTGCTCTCTTTCTCCTTGTCTTGCAGGTAAGAACAAGGGCAAAGGAAAAGACAGGGAAAAAGCATGATATGGGATACTCTTGCTTTTGACCCTGATGATATGAGATACTCTTGCTCTGGTGTGGTTGGTTTGCATAGGTATTATTGGGGGGGGGAAGAAAACTGAGTATTTCGAGAGGCTTCGTTGGGAATGCCCTCTCAGATATGAGGAAGGGTTGAGCATTTTTGCAGGTCTGCTTGTCTGGAGCACGGAGGTTGACACACATTGAGACTTTCTAGTTATTAAGTAGTGGTGTTGTTCCTTTACCTTTGTGAGTAATAGTAGGGTAGCTGGACCTTTAAAATTTATATGTCTAAACTTTGTCAGAGATCTTTGGCAAAGTTATCTGTGGTACCCGAGGAGTTGATGTTGCGTGTGAAAAGTGGTGCCTTTCCGGAATTCGGAGAGTGGTGCCTCTTTGATTTTTGAACCAACGGCCCTGTTGCCCTTTCTTTTATAGGGGTACCAATTGTGTGCAAGGAGTACATTCAGAGAGTTATTGCTTGTAGGAATTTTCCCCTTACTTCAGAGATTTAT